GTAAGAATAGTCGACTATGATTGGTCAATTCTTATGTGTCTGACGAAATTGACCAATCGCAGTCGATTATTCTTACGACTACGACTCTGCGACTCGCATTGTAGACCACGCATTATATATCGTAGTTGCGCAACGGCAACTGCGCGGAGAAAAATTTTCACCGGGTAAACCCGTTAAATAGCGTTTCCTAAGGTGAATTTTTCCGATTACGTTTTCCGGTTAAACTATGGATACATCCGATGAAATTTATCCGTTGTCACCGAAAAAAGTGGCAATAACACAACCGGCGCGCTAGGCGTGTGTTTTTTCTTTTGGTGGGGTGAGTTTCCAGCGCGCGCGTCGCGACACGTAAACAAGGTCACCGCGCGATCGTCATTCGCACGCCGAGCGTTGAGCGAGCCGGAAGCTTGTTCTCGAACAATATCACGTACAGCATTTTACGAATATTACGCTTAATATTGTAGCGACACTCGTGAAGCATCGTGTGCGATGTCTTTCGAGCCTGAGCTTAGCTTTATTCGTCCGTTGTCTTTTTCCAACTGTATACTTTAGAAAGGGACAAACGTGAATTGAACTAACAATAAGATTAAAGAACTAAGATTAAGCGACGTTTGGTGAAATCCTGCCCTTACGGTTTCCTCCGCCTTGCCTCTCGTCTACGACGAAGGCCCGGTTTCACCAACGTCGTTTAACTTTAAGCTTAGCTCAATCGATCCTTTATCTCTTTCCAATTGTTACTTTAGAAAGAGACACGAATCGAGGTGAGACTAAAGTTAAGCGACGTTCGGCGAAACCGGGCCTAAGGCAGTGTTGGGCGCGGGGGAGGGTCGAGAAGTCGCGAATTGGCGTACGCGTTGAAGTTGGCTTCGCGTCGCTTCGAGGATCGCAAGCGCTCCGAAGTCATTGCCAGTTCAACATGGACGCCGAAGCTTCCGGAGTGCTGTCGCGCGCGAAATCCGCTCGGCGCGGGTCGACAGTATCGGCGAGAGGATCGCGAGTGCCGCGGCGAGCACGCGAGGATGAGAGCCGGTAGGATTCTGGGTTACTCGAGCGTCGATCCGCCGAATCCGAGCCCGGCGACGTCGGCTTTTCCTGACCTCCGCCGCGGGATCGTTCGCCGTGCCTGGGTACGAAGAATCCGCCGATGAAGTATCTTGCGCCTTTCGCGGCGCAGAATTTGACGAGTGAAAAGCGTCGAAGTGACTGGGGTGCGCGCGAGCTTCCGAAAAGTCGCGTAACCGTCTCGGTGGTGACCGTCGCTGGCGCGTCTTCGTTGGGGCGTCGCTCGTCCGATCTGACCGTCCGCGACGTTATTCGCGGCGACGTGCGTGACGTGCGTGACGCCGAGATCCGCGAGAGACGGCGACGTCGAGGTTAGCGGCGTCGCGTAGTGCCCGCGGTTTCCCGCGTTTTCTCGCGCTTTCCCGCGGTTCCCTGCGCTCTTGGCGCCGCCATCTTGTCGCGATCGCGTTCGCTCGTCCGGCACGGTTTGTCGAGGAGGTCGCGCGACAACGAGAACCTTCGCGAGTGACGTGCGCGGAGTGTCGTCGAACAATTAGTGCAGTGACAAGTGACGTGAGTGATGGATTCATTCGTTGAACTAGTGGAATCGCCTCAATTTTCTGGACGCCCCCAAGGAAGCCGGACGGTCTCTTCGCGGCGGCGGCGGCGGCGGCCGGTAAGTTGTTTTTTTATTGTTTGAATTGCATTGCTCGAGGATATACTCCTCGCGGGCACGTTTTCGTGTAACACGATCGGCCACTTTAACCCTCGAATTCTCGACAACCTGACTTGTGTTTTGTAGTTTCTGGATAAGTGGAGTTTACGCTAAAACGGACTCCACGCTCGTGGATTAACTTTGTAAAATTTTAGTAGTAATTGTAAAATACACGGTACAAAGGCTTCTTCTTATCGTGCACGCTCGAAAATATTAGCAAATTATTTTGAGCGTGAATTTAAAAAATTAACAAATTCTCATTTTACGTAAAATACCCCGGTGAAAGTTTTTCTCAGTTTTCATATAATTTTCAATAATTTTTATGTAAATTTCATAATTTTTCAGATTTTTTAAATACAAATTGGTACATTTAAAAAAAAATGCCGAGAGTTTATACGTTTTTTTTAGAATTTTTTACACGCATGAATTCTGAAATATTCCGAGATTTCTTATACTATAATTTCACGTAATCTTATATAAGCTTTGAAAAAGATTGTTAAGAGTTTTTCAGAAATTACAGAATGAGAAATCTTAAGGCCTGTGTCCACAATGCTAGTCCTTTGTCCAAGTTCTAGTTCCGAGAAACGTGTGGCCAATCAACTCGCAGCTATTCCATAAAAGCTACAAGTTCATTGGCTACGCATTTCTGGGAACTAGAGCTTGGATCAAATTCTAGCACCGTGGACACAGGCCTTTAGTCCAAGTTCTAGTTTGGAGAATATGTAGCCAATCAACTTGCAGCTATTGGAAAGCTGTAAGTTGATTGGCCGCACATTTCTCGGAGCTAGGACTTGAAACAAATTGTAGCATCGACGCAAGCCTTTAGAAAGGAAATATTGCAGAATGTTCACATGTATGGACGATCCTAAAGGCCAATGTCCACGATGCTAGAACTTGGTCCAAGTTCTAGCATCGTGGACATTGGGCTTTAGAAAAGAATTGGACTTTCTCAGTGTTTCTGAAAAGTGCACCAATTCGTATAAAAAATGTGAGAAAAATTTTCACCAGGGTGGGTGAAAATTTTATACCAGTGGAGTCTGATATTTACTTGTTTAGGAATCCGAGGGTTAATCGTGCGGCACGCGAGTCCATTGTGATTATTGCCTTGAGACAGGAAACTGTTCGTTTAGTGCAAGATCGGTGATAAAGTTGACGCGAGAATGTCGTTTAGGAGGAGACCTTTGGACCGCACTTTCGACTTTCGGTATACGAATCGTTTATTGCGGCCACGTGAAAACGGTTGCTCGCAATCGCGGTTGTTCAGTCTGTCGACGTTACCCGGCGAGAAACAATAGGCGTCACTTCTTACCTTGAGAAACCTTCCGTAGACCCCTGAAATCTCTCGTTTCTCTCGTGAAAAATCCGTCTTATTTAAAAAAGTATATGCTGGTGTTTGAAAAGATATTTGCTTGGAGTCCAACAATTTATTTCCACGTGGAAAATATTTCATATTAATCGCACTGTCGAAAAACTCACCGCGACAAAGCTGTTTATAAGACATTGTATTTTTAGAGGAAAGTTTGCTTGCGATTAGAGAGACGATGTATCATAAAAAGATGTTTGGACTCCAAGAATTTATGATTTGCATACAGAAAAGATTTCGTATCACTTATTGTCAGAGAATTTGTGGCGAGGAAAATTGTTTAAAATGCCTATTGAATTGTGATTAAATGGCGTATACATTTCTACTCACAATTTAAAAGTATTACTGTCTGATCCGAATTGCACAACTATTACTATGGCTAAGGGAGAGCCAAGTTCACATCGCGTGGATTTCAACGTAATTAGACAAGGCCAGGTTTTCTTTCGTACGCAATAGAATATTATATTAAAATATAAATGCTGAAATCTACAACAGTTACATGTGCTTTATGTATATAAATATCTTACACGTTTAACTTTTACCGACTGTACAGCAATCGTTCGAAAAGACGTTACGCTTGAGTACTTTGGAAAATTTCGTTCTACACGGCGCGCACGCGCGCGCGACCGCACGCGCCTCGCACTTCCAAATGCATCCGGTTGAGTTGATATCTTTGCTCTGAGTTGGACAGAAATATAAATGCGGGCAAAAATTTCCAAGCGAGACTACAGTTCCCGGTGTAGATTGCGTCGGCGTATTGTACATAAATTCTCTCGTTTGTTAAAGCCAGAAAATGACAATAGTATCTGCGCAGAGTCAAAGGGCGCGAGGGGCGCGCGGGAAACCTCGAGTGTCATCTAAAATTCCGTGTCGGGATAAGCGGTCAGCCCTCGCGGGCGAATCCTACTGCTCGTCCTTGTCCTTCGCGCCGTGCTTCAGGATCCGAGTGAACTCCAGATAGTCGAACATGGAGCCTTTGATCGGCGCCTCGCGGTACATCTCGTCTACATCGTCGTCCGTGAATCTAAGGGAAGAAAGCAGTCGGTTCTTGCAGGAATTGATTGCAGAATTGACTTGGTCGGCTTAATAATCAATCGCGTTGTTACAAATATCTTTCTTCATCAACGCCACTGGCGAATCGGCAATTGGTAAAATAAACGAAAGTAACTGCACAGAAAAGTGCGAACGGCATAGATAAAATATATTGCGATCAATTTACTATTGTTATCTGATTGTGCAATAATTATTATCTGTTTTTACCGGTGAATTATTGCCTCGGTCTTCTACGATTTAAAATCTAAGATGCTAAATTTTCGCAAACCCCAACAAGTCGCAATAATTCCGTACAACTTGAATACGAAATCCGGCAAAATGAAGCTCTACCTGTCGCCCATCGTCGTAAGCAGCTCGCGCAGGCGTTCCTCGTTTATATGGCCGGTGTTCTCCTCGTCGAAGCAACCGAAGGCATTCTTGATGACGTCTTCAGGGTCAGTCCCTTGTAGTCTCTCTCCAAACAGTGTCAGGAACATGGTGAAATTGATAGGTCCGGGCGCCTCGTTCATCATCGCCTCCAGATACTCGTCGGTAGGATTTTTGCCTGCAAAACATTTACTTTACGTTATACACGTATTTCATCGCGATATCTGAAAGCCAAAGTAGAATCCGTCACTCGTGCGAGCGCTCGTGTGCAAATGCGCTCGGCGTGGACGTGTCTCTTGGAGCGTTTTCTTTCCCTCCGCTCTTCACTCACCCAAGGAGGCCAGCATGTCGTGCAAATCCTCCTTGTCGATGAATCCGTCGTGATTCTGGTCGATCATGTTGAACGCCTCCTTGAACTCGGCGATCTGCGCCTGGTCGAACATCGCGAAGACATTCGACGTGGCGCGCTGGGCGCGCTTCTTCGTGGTGGCACGGCGACCGGCGGTTTTGCGCGAAGACATCCTCGACAGTCTCGTTTGCACCTGCCGGCAAATTCGAACGTCAGTCGCAGCTCGCTCGTCCCGGGCCAAAAATCTAGCGTGTCTTAAGCTGCCTTGTATCATAGAAATGTTGTGTATTTGTAAAGGTCTATGTCCACGGTGCTAGAACTTGCTCCAAGTTCTAGTTCCGAGAAAGCTTTTATGGAATAGCTGCAAGTTGATTGGCTACACACGAGGGGGAAACCGCTGATCAAAATGTTGTACACCAATGTCCATTAATGCCCAGTACTTTATCTTGTTATCTTATTTTATCTTTATAACACCCCAGCAAGACCTAATGTTCAAACTAATGTCCAAAAAATGCCTACACTGACCAAAATTTTTTTTTAAACTAAGTAAACAGATTTACTTAAAATTATTTTTTTACTGAAGTAAATATTTATTTTATTTAAATAAAAATGTCAAATTTCAAGTAAATCTATGTATTATGTTAAGTAAATTTATTTGAATCATTACATTTTCTACATTCAAATAAAGATTTCATGAGATAGAGAATATTATGTGTTAAATGCAATAATTGTTTTTGTCAAATAAAAAATCCAATTTTCTTCGCTGTGAAACTTATATCTTAGTAAAAATCTTATAAAATTAAAGTAAAATTTTTTAAATTTAAAATTATCTACCGTTTGATATTTAATAAGCACTTAAATTAAAGAAGTGCGTGTTTCAATTTGTTTATTATTTTTTAAATTCAAGTCAACAAGCTATTAGAAGCCACCTAAGGAATAATTTTCTTGAGTAAAGTAATAATGTTTTTGGATTAAAATATTTTTTTATCAGTAATGCCGCAAATCTGTACATACACCACAATGCCCTCGGCGGTTTCCCCCTCGGCTACACATTTCTCGGAACTAGAACCTGGATCAAGTTCTAGCATCGTGGATACCTAGGCCTTTAAAAATATTCAATATTTCTCTCTTTGGCCTGGTTTGCCATTTTCTGGTTAACTGTTAACTGGAGGTTAGTCGATTCTCTGTCTCTTCTTAAGATAACAATATAGAACAGGACGGAGAGTTGAGTAACTTCTGGTTACTTCAACAGGTGACCAGAAAATAAAAACTCGGCCCTTTAAAGCCCGGTTGCGCCAAAGTCGCGTGAATGCAGAGTATCGGCGGGGCCTTTCGTTGATACTTTCGGTGAATCTTACTTTGTGAAGTAAGTGAATCCTCGCGGGGATTCTTCGGTTAAATTAAAAACTGCATTTCCCCCCCCCCCCCCAGCGAGAACTCGCAGATATCGACAGTTTACCAGCGGATCTGGAACGGGCGCGCGTATTTTCGGACCGTGCTAATAAATTGCGATCTGACGGTATCGTCCGCTCTGGAAACAACGCTCGACGCGACTTGTTTGCTCGATAGTGAAAAATAAATAAGCCGCGATCCCTCTCTCTTTTCTCCGCGCTCGCGAATTCGCCGCCGGATTTTCGCGAGACAAAGACGCCGTTCTTTTTAAATTAAAACGAACATCGCGACGGGACCGGTCCGAGCTGCCAAGCTCCCATCGCCCCGTCGCCGTTTATTTTCGGATAATCAATTGACGATATCCCGACGCGACGTAAAGGGGGGAGGAGGGGTAAAAATAATTACTCGGACGAAGGCGCGACACAAGGGGTCGTTATTCTCTTAAATGGCTTTTATACGCGACTTTGTCTCGTCGCTAATGCACCTCCTGTCAGCAAATTGTCTGGTTTGCGTAAATTTGCTCGTCCAAAAATACACACGCTTAAACGGATTAAACGTCGGGGGGGGGGGGGATTCGATGGGAAGAGTCGACGCATCGAAATCGAAGAATTTTTAATTCGGCCCCGGTCTCTTTAAAACATTCGTGCTACGCGCAATGCACTTTTTTCTTGCAGCCAAGCAGCGTTCATTAAGGCCTGTGTCCACGATGCTAGAACTTGGTCCAAGTTCTAGTTTCGAGAAATATATAGCCAATCAACTTGCAGCTATTCCATAAAAGCTACAAGTTGATTGGCTGTATATTTCTCGGAACCAAAACTTCTAGCTAGACCGAGTTCTAGCATCGTGGACACAAGGCTTTAGAAAATCTCTTGGAACTATTATTCCGCGTCTGTCTCGTAAATTTATTGAGAAAATGTATGCTTGCACTGCATTTGAAAATGCAGTTTCTTTCGCAATTGCTTTCGCGAATCTTGCAGACCTTACTCATGCATGCGCTTACTCATCTTTCGAATCGCGTCCTACTTTTCCCTCGAACCTCGCTCTCTCTCTCTCTCTCTCTTGCGCCCAGTGCCGTCGCGGTCGGGCGTCGAGCCCGGACCCGTCGCGAGAACAAACATCCGATTATTCGCTATAGACTCGCGTTCACGGCAGGTGAAGCGAAGGGTCGGATGCGAGAATCAGGTGGCTTTTCTTCGAAAACAAGTTGCGCTTTTATTACGTTTACATACATTCAAATGTCACCGCAGGAAAAGAAAAGGAAAATGACGTGATTTTTTCAGACGGTTTTATCAGCTGCCGTGAAATTTACTAAAACGAAGCCACCTGGTCCTCGAAATTGTTCTCGATGGCGTTTCCACGATCCCGCGCCCGGCCGCGTTGCGCCCGCTGCGCCCTCCGTCGTCTACGGCACTGCCGCCCGTCTGTTTATGCACGCCTCCTCGCGCGTCTCGTCACCGATCGGCGCATAACCTGACCGCGGGACGTCGTACCCGGTCGTGGCCCAATTATCGGTCTCTCGAGCAACGATCCTCGGGCTCTCTCGAGCCAAACGCACCGTCTCCCACGAGACGTGAATCGCGCGAAGCGCGGCCGAGCAATGGCGGTCCCTGCGCGAACGAGACTCCCTGTCAAACGCGTCGCGCGTCGCCACGACCCGCGTAAGAAAATTCGCTGGTTCGGCCCCGATTAACCGCGTTCCGGGCCAGACGGGGAACGTAACTCACCGGCGGGTAACAGCGAACGAGAGGAAACGGAGCTGGTGGGCCGGAACGGGTCTCTCGGCTTCACGGCGCACACACTGTGTGAATCACGTTTACGCGTCGCTCCGTGGTCATTCACCACACCCGGCCAGCCAGCGCCGTCTGCCGGGCGCACGGGGGAAACGGTGTCGCGAGCCGCGCGAAAATCGGGAAGGATTCAGGCCGCCGATCAGGATCGTGCGTTCGAGATACTTGGCGCGCGTCGGGCACTCACGAACAAGTCGTTCTTTCATTCCGACCTCTCTCACTCTCGGAGCTCTCTCGAGTTTGACGAGCACGCGGGAAAAGTAACTCGCGTGTTGCGCATCGAAAGTGAAAAAAAAAGATACGGAGGTTGAGGGGAAAACCTGATTTCTTATTTGGACATTTTAGGTAGATGGAAAATTTAGGTGGATTCGAATGGAATTTTAACCCTTTCGTGACACAAGAGAGAGAGAGAGAGAGAGAGAGAGAGTGAGTTTCACTTAAGAAATTTAAAGGGATTCGATGATTTAACATTGTAACGTATTGAAAAAGCATTGCATGAACGAAAACTTGAAAACCGAAAATTAATCGGGAGTTTCACGAAGGCGCATACGGACAGTTTACGTCGCCGAGCAGCGAAACGACGACGATGTGATTGTCAGAAGTAATATAATTTTCGTAGACTATGAAAAACACATATTCGCGACAACTCGCGTTTCTAAATACAAGATACACCCGGCTCGGAAATATTTTTGGCCGCGATTGCGCGAGTTATTACACCCCTGAACCGAGGATCGTTTCCATACATGGATTAACGTGGCTTGTGTTGTCTCGCAACCATATAAGGCCACGTGCGTGACTGACACATACGTCGTTCTGTAATTTTATCTTTTGCGACCATGCAAACTGTCTCGGTCGCGATTCTCCTCCCGCGATCGAACACGCAGCCTCGATGCCGGTATTGCGATTTTATTTGCGCGGAATCGCTACGACGCGTTACTTCAGTCGCCAGACACATATGAAATACATTCGCCCGTTATCGGGTCAACAATCTCGTTGGTATCTGGCGTATATACATTGCGGCGGAGATTTATAAACGCCCAGCAATGGCTCGAGTTCCTCGCCTTGTCCGCGATCCAAGATTTCGCAGCCAAGACTTGGACGCCAAGACTCGTCGAGATGCTGACGTCGTGTATTGAGTAATGAGCAGCATCGCCACAGCTATTCGCGACGTTACGTTTGCGAATTACTTTGCACAGGATCATTTTATTAGTTTCCCGAGTCGTTAATCGGTAGGCGGATCCATCCCTCGGATTCTCGGGTGAATTTATGCTGCGATTCTAAAGTCCAGGTCCAAGTTTTAGTTCCGAGAAACGTGAAGCCGTTCAACTTGCAGCTTTTATAGGTACAACCGCAAGCAGGTTGGCTGCGCATTTCTCGAAACTAGGACTGGTATTCATAGTCTAATCGTATATTCAAGACCGTCTTAAGATCATCTTCAGACACTCCATTGCCGAGGGGGAAACCGCTGAGGGCATTGTGGTGTACAGATTTGCGGCATTACTCGGCATTACTAGGCAGTTTTTGGGCACTAGTTTGGGCATTAGGCCTTGCTGGGGCATTAGAAAGATAAAATAAGATAATAAGACAAAGCAATGCCCACTGGGCATTGGTGCACATGGTTTTGTTCAGCGGTTTCCCCCTCGTCCATAGCCAATGAAATGTTCCATACAGTATCTTTAGATAAATTCAAGACGCTCTTGAACATAAAGATCTGACTATGAATGCCGGCCTATAACTTGGACCACGTTCTAGCATCGTGGCCTCGGGCCTTAAGCAAAACCGTAAGACTCACAAGAACTAACTTACGAGTAATCTGCAATTCTACGCGTACTATGTATACTCCGCGAGTGACCGTGCGACGTACGCATACAATTGCAAATTATTCGCAAGTCAGTTCTTACGAGTCTTACGAAGATAAGTTGCGCGTTTTACGATTTTACCTAACTGCAGCGATAGTTTGGTTAAATTTCGAGGAACTTAGCGGTAGGAAATGAAAAGATTCTAGGAGACCGAAGCTTCGTAGGGGGAGACTGAGCGAGGGAACGTGAGGTGTGAAGTACAACAAGAGCGCTGGCTGCTTTATTCGCACAATCCTAAACTTACGCTACAACATGTCTTAGGAGCTACGTGTAATGAACCTAAATGATCGATACACCGTATATACAGAATCGTACAAAATAGTTGATCCTCAGGGAAGGGAATCTCTCGCCGGTGTGTAAAATCCTCTCCCCACACCTGTCCTCTCCGTCTCGCGAATTATTTACACGAACTGTCGCGCCTTCGACAGGCGGTAATATAAATAACGACAACAACGTTCCTCGGTGTCCTCCGCACACGCGGCGAGAACGGCGGGAACGGCGTGCGAGAGGGAGGGTTGAGTCGCTCTCGAGATCGACGATTTTTACGCGCGCGCGATTCCCGACGTGCGCGAAGGACGAAGAGAGGCCGACGTGGAGTCGACCGGCTATCGCACTGACACGCCGTTGATGGTGATTCCGTTCCTGGGAACCGGCTCGGCCTCGTAATGTCCGGATCTGCCGTACATTCTCCTCGGATGGCCCATGTATCTGTTGCTAAAACACATCGATTTATGTTGAACGTTATCGACTCCGTTTACTTTAATAATGGAAAGAAAACAACTTCAGCATTTTCTCGACCATATCTGGCATTTTTGATAATACAGAAAATTTATTGCGAAAAATATTACCTCAGCCCAGGGTTTGAACCTGGACTTCCCTACACTCTGGGCAATATTTTTCGCAATAAATTTTCTGTACTATTAAAAATGCCAGACATGGTCAAGAAAATACTGAAGTCGTTAATTGCGACTGGCGACTTGAAGAATATTCTTATTAGTTAATTAAAAATAAACTTTTTCACATATATTTTTCTCTACTTCGCTGATCTCTTTTCTAGAGATCTCCGTGCTTTCTTAAATAATTATAATAATTTTCCTCGACTCGCTGTTTGCAGAAGTTTCAAATAATGAAAATTGATTTCGCAGAGAGCCGTTTGTCTCTCAACATCTTGAGAATGTTTTGAGATAAACCGGTAAAGTTTGAAGATTTTTCGTAGTATAAAAATATTGTTGTGTCTCAAAAGTGACACTGTTGAAAGGCACGTTATCTAACACGAATGGGATAATCGCAGTTTACGCCGCTGATTCGAATCGATGCAGTCTCTTGAAACAATTTCCTTGCGACTCACTTGTACGCGTTGCCGCCCAGGCCGTACGGATTGTCGTAGAGGCCATCCTCGGGGACGTTCTCGTACATGGTGTTGTGCGTGCCGTCGTTCAACGTCGCGTAAGACATGACGGCGGCGTTTTGATCCTCCTTCCGTTCCGCGGCTTGGACGTTCTCGGTGTTTTTCACCGGCGTGGCTTTTCGCCTGCGAAAATGCAATTTGACTCGTCAACGCGCCCCGAGACCGAGACCCGCGCCTATTATCTCGAGAGATACTCACAGCCTAAGGTAGACCAGTCCGAGGATAATTAATATAAATATAATGACGCCAGCTGCGATGCCGACGCTCGTGCCGACGCCTTGGGGCTCCGCCACCTCGTTCGCAGCCACTGCGACGCAAATGACAAATATTATTATCAGACAATTCAAGTCCTTTCCCCGAGTCGTTAAAGTCAAGTCCGCGACATCAATTTAATTATTTCGAGCAGTCTGCTTGCTGGCGACAGAGTTTTGTTGACGAAAAAAACTTTCTTGAGAAAACTTTGAAAGTTGACCGATGAAGCTCGAAGATTTTTCGCGGTCTAAAACTATTCTCGTCTCTTAGAAGACATTATTTAGAGGCACGTTTGAAAGATACATAATATTCTGTATTTACAACTTCAGTATTTTCTTGATCATATCTGGCCTTTTTCGAATTTCACCAATTCGACCGCTGAATCGAATTGGCGAGACGCCCGCCTAGAGTGTAGGGAAGTCCAGGTTCAAATCCTGACTGAGGTAATATTTTTTGTAATAAATTTTCTGTATATTAAAAATGCCAGATATGGCCAAGAAAATACTGAAGTTGTTAATTACTGCTGGCGACTCGAAGAATATTCTTATTAGTTCTGTATTTACATTCGCATTTCGGCTCCTCGCCGCTCCAGATTCCGGTGTCCAAACACTTCCTCAGGAATATGCCGATCCTTTCGTACTGCGGTAGACAGTGATACTCCGCGGCCCCTCCGTAGGTCGTCGAACCGTTCACCACAATCACCCTACCGTTCTCTATCGGTCCCGGATGCTTGCAGTCGACCGCTGGAAAAAACGTCGCGAGTAGAACTTGTATCCTTGTGAGCTTATCACAAAACTCGGATTATTTAAGTAATTCACCAGCTGGATTGCCCGGATCGTCTTTTTCTTGAATCCGCTTTTTTAAAACATCATTATTGTTCACTAACATATTTTAAATGTCATTTTGTTTAATTCTTTTACCGCGACAAACCGAATCAGTTAAATTATACCAAACTTATTTCCCGCATTGATAAAAAAATCTTAATCCAAAAAAAAAAATATTACTTTGCTCAAGAAAATTATTCATTAGGTGGCTCCTAATAGATTATTAACTTAAATTTAAAAAATAATAAATTAATTAAAACATGCATTGCTTAATTTGAGAATTTATTAAATATCAAAGAAGTGATCATTTTAAATTAAATAAGTTTTATTTTAATTCTATAAAATTTACTAAGATGTAATTTTTACAGCGAAGAAAATTGGATTTCTTATTTAACAAAAATAATTATTTCATTTAATAAATAGTAATCTATATCTCATGAAATCTTTATTTCAATGTAATGATTTAAATTAATTTACTTAATATAATACATAGATTTACTTAAAATTTGACAGTTTTATTTAAATAGAATAAATGTTTACTTCTTTTTAAGTAAATCTACTTAGTTTAAACAAATTTTTTGTCAATGCGGAAATAAAGCATTTTTGCGTTAAACATTTCGTGCTTCAGTTTTGTGTCAGTACCGTCGGCCAAAAATTTCGAATGCCTTCGAAAACTATTATTTTACAAAATGCGTTCTTTACTTCGTGTTACGAAGAAACATTTGGAATAAAGAAAACTAGGTATCGACTTATTGTTAGATTCGCGATAAGCAATTGCGGTGTCGCACGCGATTCGTCTTTATTCGTTGAATAAAAAATTGTGGGAAAGTTTCTTACAGAAACAAGCAGGCGTTGTTCCGCTCCAAGATCCGTTTTGCAAACAGATTCTGGTCTCGTTTCCTTCGAGGTAAAAGCCACGTGGACAACTGTAGTGCGCCACACCACCCACACTGTGGGTCGATACTTGCGTCGATAGTACGCCCGTTTTCTCCGGATCTCTGCACCGTATTTCTGTAAACGGTCGCTATTATTAACACTTGTACAATTTGATGATCGATCGCCACCTCTCGGTTCCGCTTAAACGTATGAACTATACGCTTTAATATACGCTTTAGGCCTGGCTTCACCAACGTCGCTCAACCACAAGCTTGGCTTAATTCATTCTTTGTCTCTTTCTAACTGTTACTTTAGAAAAAGACAAACGTGAATTAAACTAAGATTAAAATTAAACGACGTTTGGTGAAACCGGGCCTTAAAGTACAACAATTGATATGAGGTCGAAGTTGACTGGAAATCAACTGTGAACGCAATGAGCTTCCGTTAATTTATCTTTCGCGCTTCTTGAAAGAGTTAATATCCTCGACAGATTACCTCGACAGACGGGGGTATCGCTGCTCCAGGTACCGTTCTCGAGACACAGCCTTCTGGCAAATCCATCTAGCTCGAAATTGCTGTCGCACTCATAAAGTGCAGCTGCTCCATAATACGTTGCGTTCGACGTCAACGTGTAACGTCCGTGTTGAATGTGCTCGGGTTTACCACAATCGACATCTGTCAGACGAATGCTAATGTCATACATTTAACGTTCCTCTTTCATTCTTAATATTAAAATCGTATATTTCTCGAGCGTGACAAATATCTTATAATATCTCGCGGTATCGTCGCGTCAACCAAGAATACTCGTCGGTCATTCGACGAGAAGGGAATTCTCTAAATTGTCGACGGTTGCCGTTTATCCTGCGCGATAAGCAACTAACTTGACGAAATTATATCACCTTTAGGTTTTCCAAGCATAACTTTCGTCAAAGTGCATCGAATCTGCTAAAAATTGTACAGTAGACACACCTGATAACAGGTGCATCTTGTACGTGAAGGGTAATGAAATTTGACAAAATACACCCATGATCTTCGAAGTTTTCATTTGTGCATTTTAAAACCAGGGTTGGCAAAATTCCACATTTTTTTTGGATAAGGTCCATGCCAGTGGTAAAAAATGGTATTTTCCGGAAAAAAACCGGCAAAAACTGGTCTTCTCTATTAGAAACGATAAGATAAGTAGAAAACTTTTAGAAAGCGCTGCAAAAAAGTATTGTTTCCCGCATAAACTAAAAATTAATATAAAATTTAGTATCTCCGAAGTTCTCGTTTTAAAAGTGTGTATTAATTTCAATAAAACAATTTGTTTTAATTATAGAAACTTATTATATCGGTTTCTTTTTAAAGCAGTGATTAATATGATTTAGTATTTAAAACAAACATCTTTTCTCATAAAGACTATAAAAATGACCAATATTTATATAAATATATTTTAACTAAGTATTAGTTATTTTTATAATTTCTGCCAATTTATTTCATTGGATAAAGTCGGGAAGGGCAAAAACTGGAATTTGCCATGGTTTTTCCATCCCCTGGATTTTTCCAGCCAATCCTGTTTAAAGCTAGTTACGCGCAAAAACTCAAAAGGTGATACAATTTTGGCCGGTACCGTACACCTCTCGGCGATTAGGGTATCCGGAAATACGTACAGATGCACTGCGGCACTTCGCCGCTCCACTTCCCGTTCTCCTCGCAGGTGGACAACGGCTCTCCGATCACCTTGTATCCTCTCTCGCATCTGTACTTGGCCAGGGCCCCGATCTTGTACGAGGTCGCGCCCGTGTTCGAGTTCTCCGCGGTGCCCGTGCGAATCAACGTCCTTCCGTACATCCGGTCGTTGCCGGTGACCGAGAGAATCCCGTGCTCGGCCAGCACCGCCTCCGGACAACGGATTTCTGCGGCGAGAAACGTGAACGTGATGCGAACGCACGCACGCGGAAACGTCGGGCAAAATTTTTACGACGTGACCATCCTCCTCTCTCGGTTGCGCAATTCCGCGGGCTCCATTTGGCCGCAGCGCGGTTATTACCTTCGCATTTCGGAGTGGCATCGCTCCATTGGCCGTTATCGAGGCAATATCTCCTCGACACTCCGTTCAGTCTGTAGTTCTTCGTGCAGCTGTACGCGATCTCGCTGCCAAGATGAGTCGTGTCGTTCGCGTAGTCCACAACGCCGTTCAAAATCGGAAGTACCTTGCCGCAGTCGACATCTACGCGAGCATTGTTTCAGTCGGTAATTTTAGGAGCAATTGTCGAACTCGCGAATTGACTTGTGAGGGAAATATACGTTACATTCAAATAGAAATCAGAGCTCTGTTTGGGGCAAGCGTTACTTATTTCGCGAGAAGTAAGAATCATACTAGCCTTTATTTGATACACATCTTGTTTCAGTTTTTGATAAAAAGTGCTAACTTGTGGTACATCAAAATTGCACAGTTTTAACGAACCACAAGTTTTTTCATTAAAATTACACACTGTACGTCTCACGAAGAAACCAAAGGGCCAAGTGATTTTTAATTTCCAAGCGTAGAGGCGAAAGGGAAGAAACAGCTGATTGAAGCTCCAAGTAATTTTTCGATTTGTTTATACGCTGGCGAGCCCCGAAGGAGACCTCGTTTAGGGCGAAGGCCAACAACGTTAAAGACAATGTTGATTTCAGTCTACGCCTTTCATAATTTGACATGATTATGTCATGCGATGGGAAAGAGATTCGAGGGAGATGACTCACACTCGCACATCGGCACTTCTCCCGTCCACTCGCCGTCTTTGCCGCACGTGTGTCTCGCCTCGCCGTGAAGCAAGTAACCCACGTCGCAGTGATATTCGATAACGCTGTGAACGTTGAGATCGTATCCTACTACGTATCCTCCAGTAGGCACTTCCGGTTCCTCGCACGTAATCACTGCAAAAACGAAAACGCGAAGCGTAAATTCGCACGTAGGTTCATACTCGTAAAATGTTAAAGAATACGGTAAGCAGGGACTATTTGACAGGTAAAACATTGAATCGGCCTTAATAATAAGAATTAATCAATTAACGTGAAATAAAATCAAAAGCCCCGTAATTTTTAAGTCCCTCAAATAAGGGCAGTTTTCTATATTTCGCTACAATCTTGGTGCGATTATTCCTCGCCATGCCAGGGATTCGTTTCTCCCTGTAAACTAATTGTTGAAATTATGGACACAGGCTAATCGTGAGACAAACAGATATAACAAATTTTATTTTCCGCGTAGAAAGTAGATTATTCCTTCCTGATTCGCAGTTGCGCGATTTTCACGAGAACACGCCGGATTATTCTTCGCGCAGCGAGGAGCTTGCCTTCTCGACAAATTCGCCCTTACTTAAGTCGGCACGTTTAAATAATCATTCTTACACTCGCACGATGGCGTGTCGTGGCTCCATTTGCCCTCTTTGGTGCACTCTTGCTTCCCTTCGCCCACCAGCCAGTAATCCTGCTGACACGTGTAGACGGCCAGGCTGCTCACCGTGGTCGTGCCGTTAATTAGAACGACGGTGCCAAACTCGATCTGGGCCGGGGCCCCGCAGTCAACGAATCGACATTGCGGCGCCTTGCCGAACCACTCGCCACCGATGTTGCACGTGAGGACCTTAATTGACAATCGAATGATTGCGATCTTAAATTAGAATATTATCGAGAGAAAAATGTCACTTATAGTCGCCGATTACGATTAAACATTGAAACAGCGAGCGTATTGTCAACCCAACTGGCAAGTTTCATTGAATTCCACAGCGAGGTTCAAATCGAACCTCGGTAACCTTCGGATGTGCACTTACTTTTGTCTTTTGACTATATCTCACGGATTACGACGACTCGCTTGGCTAATGAATCTTTCCTTGCTTTCTTGTATTGTTACTTGAAAAGGACCTGAAGTAAGGTCGAAACGTTTGTAACGAATTCAGTAAAATTTGCCAGTTGGGTTGACAATAAGCTCACTGTTTTAAAATATCATCCTCTCGTTAGGCTTATTTTTTATTTATTACTATGCCTCGTGTACTTTAATATACACATACGCGAGAGGAAAGAAATCTCGAACAGTAATGTCACGAGCGACAATCGTAAATGAGAAATTAGAACTCACGTTATCGCCGAACAGGATAAATCCATTTTGGCAGGAGTAAGTGGCGGTGGAGCCCGCTCTTTTTCCGCTAGTTGTCACGACGCTGCCGTTCACTTCCGGTGGTTCGGGACACCAGTCGACTGTAATTAAGCGTGTAATGGCATTAGAAACGTGACTCTTCACTTAACCCAGGCACGCTAACGTGAAATTAGTTTCTAATTATAGCCCAGTAATTATATTTGCGCGGTTTTATATACAATATAAATTTCAGATGATCGTCCATCACGCGAAGACAAACATTCGACACTAACAATAAGCAGTGGACTTTCCTTTTTTCTCTCTCTTGCTTATGATGAAATTCTCTGGCATATTTGTGACTATAACTTACTAATATTTAAAAGTATCCGTGCACGTTTATTGACTACATTTAATTCGACTAGAAAATCGTCGGCTTTCATACCGGCCTCAGTCTATATTTACTGTGTCTATGGCTTTCATTCGGCCGCCAGTGCGAAGTTTTGGCACCTCATTTTCAAAAAAGTCGAAAGTCTTGCCAACAGTTCCGTTTCGTTGCATCCGCAATAGTTTGTGCACTCGGCGCGATTGATTTCAGCCGGGGACTAATCTCTTTTTCGCGCAGAAGCGTCGCGAAAACATGGCGAATAATCGAATCTGTGCGCGCGTAAATTGTCTACTTACACAGACACTGGGGTTCGTGGCCGCTCCAAATGCCACCGTCGCCGCATCTCCGTCTCGTGTCGCCCTTCAGCGTGTAGTTTTCCTTGCACGTGTAATCCGCGAGGGCGCCGTGCGTGGTCCTGTTGTCCAGCAGCGTGATAACGCCGTTCTCCAAATTCGGCAGCGCGCCGCAATCGACGACTGCGAAAACATTCGCGAGATGACGGGGACCGCGGATTGTGACGCGCGTAGCTCGCATCCATAAAACACGAATGCCCGATTGTTTCCGTGCGAACAGCGCGATACGAGAGATATGCTAATTCGTTCTACACATATCGAAGACTACATCGTAGAAATTAAAATTCATCGTCGATATAAAGTGCGATTGTAATGTGTGTCCGTAACCGCCTAATTCTATGATAATCGGTGTAGTACACCGAATATTAATCTCGAATTGTACGAAAAGTCCATCGTATTCAATGCTAATCGTGGCTAATTTGATAAGAGATCGAAATTTAGAACGAGAATAGAACGGGCGAATAAAACGCCGAATGAGGAGCCGAACGCGGACGTTGACTTCTTTGAGGTGTCATTGAAGTTACACTCACATTTGCACGTGGGCACGTCGCCGCTCCAAAAGCCGCTCGGTCCGCACATTCGGCTCTTCGATCCAACCAGCATATATCCGTCCGGGCAGGCATAGTCTATCGTGGAGCCTATCGTTCTCTTGGATCCCACGATCATGGTATTCTCCGATTTCTCGGGACTGCCGCAGGTCGGTGGCCCTGCGAGCGGACGAGTAGGACGTTGATTATTACTTTTTTTTTCCCTTACGAGACGACGTTTTTACGAAAGATTCTCGCGTTGCTTTTTAATTCGCGGTCGGGATTTTCGGCGCGAGAATGTCCCGACCGGATTTTTCTCCGGTCCGCAAACAAAATTCCTCGACACTTACTGCTCTGGCAGATCCAGTGAAGGTAATCGAGGTTACAGCCGACGTCATTCCAGAGCCAGCCGCGACCTCCGTCGAGCACGACGCAGTTTTGCTCGCCGTTGTAGTTGTTCGGCTGGTCCTTGCCCCAAGATGGCCTCTGCACAATCTCGCCTGTAATATATAGTTGGCCCGTTTTTTATTTTAATATTCTAATTGAGAGAGGTACAAGTCCCACGTATAAAACTCACAAGATTTGCACTCAATGACTGACTTAGCATATAACGTTACTGAAAATTACATCCGCAAAAACTTACGGGTAAAAAAATTTGGGAAATGGAAGGGTTAAACCGATATACATATAATTATTATACATAACGTTAGAATTGATTAAAAAATTGGTTAGGAGGAAGTCACACACATCTTCGTAATTAAACAGTACATTTTTATACATAATTGGTTGATCGGTATTAGTCCGATTATTTTACTAAAATCGCAAGCAGCGGACTGATTACATCGTGTTACACAAATAAATGCAGGCTTTATAGAAATTAATTATTAATTGACACGTACCGAACGCCGGAAGACGTAACTTCCTGCCGATTTCGACACAGTTATAACTTTCACGTTCTATTTATCATGAAACGATGCCCCGGCTGCGATTTCGTAACGATTCTACTTACGATACAATTTGTTTGATTGACGATTACATGATACCCGATTGGCTCATCAATACGGAACGAGACCGTCGCTTTATCGAGCGCGAAGCCGGAATACGAATTTACGAAATCTCCCGCCCGAAATAACGATGTCGTGTAACTCGTTCTGTAATTGCCGGATAATTGGCGGACAATGAATCGGCAATCGAGTTATCGAATCTCACCCCGGGTTACCTAACTCCGCCCTCCGGCCCTGTTCCCACGGACGGTCGTCGACGATGGGAATAATTTGGCCGAAATTTCGTCAACTTACCGTCCACCCATCGCCACGTTCGGGCGGTGATCTGCGGTTCCTTCTGAGCCCCGATCCAGACCAACTGGGTCTTCAGCTTATCCTTCCGCCTTTCTAGGTTGTTCAGGATAAATGTAGACGATATGCCCTGCAGTGTAAACATCGAAATGTATCGTCTAGAAGAAAGCGTTGGCGATCTTTTTTATTTTTCACATAAGTAGATGGCGCTAGACATATTTTTTCAATACATAGAGCTGTTTTAGAGGTCTGTATTTCTGTTCATCTGCAAATTATTTACTTGCCGGTGTAAATGTAATTTTGAAGTTGTAAGATTTACTCACATGCGCGCGCGCAGGGTTGGCAAAATTCCACATTTTTTGGATAAAGTCCATGCCAGTGGTAAAAAAACGGTATTTTCCGGAAAAAACCGGCAAACACTGGTCTTCTTTATTAAAAATGATAAGATAAGTAGAAAACTTTTAGAAAGCGCTGCAAAATTATTGTTAATAATTTAATTAACGGTTTAATTAACGAAAGAAGGAAACCATTCGCGAGTGCATGCTACATTAAATTTGCTACCATAGCTAATCATAGTTTGCTAAAATAATAATTAAAAATAATAAAAAATATTGTTTCCCGCATAAACTAAAAATTAATATATAATAAAATTTAGTATCCGAAGTTTTTTTCGTTTAAAAAATATCTATTAATTCCAATAAAACAATTGTTTTACAAACTTATTATATTGGTTTTTTTAAAAATAGTGTTAATATGATTTAGTATTTAAAACAAACATCTTTTTTCATAAAGACTATAAAAATGACTAATATTTATTTAAATATATTTGAATTAGGCATTAGTGATTTTTATAATTTTTTGCCAATTTATTCCATTGGATTAAGTCCGGGACGGCAAAAAAACTGGAATTTACCATGGTTTTTTCCAGCCAACCCTGCTCACACGATATGGAATTGAGTCGTGGAGCTCTATAAATGTAAAAGCGAATTGTAAAAACCTTGAACCCGTGAACGAGATCGCCACCGCGTGTCTTGCAGTAGTTCCTCGCCTCTTGGAAGGAGCCGCCCTTCTTCACCACAAATTCGTAACACGTGGAATTGAAGGCGGTCAGGTCGGCGTCGGCGGGCGTGCCGGCGTGTGCACACCTGTCCACCGAGAATTCTGCGAACATTTATCGAATCATTCCTCGACCGCTCCGTAAGTGTGCGCGCGCTTATACGGCCTTCCGACTTTCTTAATTCTTATTCTTCATTACGTTTAATTAACGAAAGAAGGAAACGATTCGCGAGCGCATGCTACACTAAATTTGCTACCATAGCTAATCATAGTTTGCTAAAAATGTTTTGCTGCCATAAGTATTGTATAAATTACTAAACCGCAGAAACGGTCTGCTGTCGTGCCTAATACATACACGGAGAGAACTTTCTTTTACAATTTATCCTGAAAATTATGTAATCGCGGACGCAACGTGGTATTTCGAAGAATTTTGTGAGTTTTTTGAAATTTTACTGTACATTTCACTAGTAATTATACTTGGTATACGTTTTACTAGTAAAATTTCCAAAAAACTCATAAATTTCTTAGAGATGCCACGTTGCCCCACGATCACATGATTTTCAGGATAAATTGCGAGGGAAAATTCTCTCCGTGTAGGGACAGTAGTAAAATATTTAAGAATTAAAGTTTTTCGAAGTCGAGCTTTTTACGGAGCTCTCAGCTTACCGTCCGTGGCGAAGACTTCCACCTCGCAGAGGCTCAAACTACCCTCGACACCGACAAGTTGCAAGAAGACGTATTGTCCCACGAGTGCTCTGGCACAGACGAAGGTCTTCGTGATACCCTCCTCTGTGAGTTGGATTTATCGACGTCGTAATTAATTCGTTGTCATTTTTCGAGGGACGTTCGGAACTTAATCTTGCAACGAAGCTCGAATATACCGTGGCGTGACTCAAAATGAATAGCAGTTTTATCTTCTAACGTGATCCTCCAAATATGTATTTTTGTGATATTTGCTATCGACTTACATAAAGTTTTTCTGCGTTACATGAAGAAAGAATGCGATAACGAAGATCGGCAATGTCAGTTCCGAACGTTCTTTTGCTAACGGTTTGTCGTTCTTTCGAAGCACTCACCGATAGTGCCGGGAAACCAGGCGCACAGAGGATTGCGCTGCAATTCAGCGCTGCTGTTGCCGACTCTTATCTCAATATCCTGAAGAGGCTGATGACCTGCCGAGCAATCGATAAGTCATTTCTCCGGCCAGTTGCATTTATAGCCAAGTCTCGAGGCAAACTTACAGCTGCGCGATGGAAATAGGGGAGAATCGTTCGGGATATTCAATTATTTTCTTCAATTTCAAATCAGGCGAATTGATTTATGTTTCATTGTGGAGAAGATCTCTTTTCAACGAAACGCGTAAGACGTATTTAAATAGAATTAAAATATAATTAAAAATTGTCGATAATTGAAAAAAGATTTGAAGAATAATACGACCGTCGCGGGTCGTGAACCCGAGAGCGTTTCGAGTCTGAAATGAATATGATAATGCGGAAGTTTTACCGCAACAGCCTCGCGTCGCCACCCGGACAACCTTGACGGAATATGGCTTGAGGAGGTCGACCCTCCACCAGGGACTGGGCTCGCTCTGGGTCTCCGTGCATCTTTTCCCGTCGTGTTCCGTGCTGAAGTCACCGTCATTACCATGGTTTGCGTTTCCGCCTCTCACGGTCGTCGATTGGTTCGCCGGTTTGCGGAAACCCACGTTCGTGCCTGTCGCGCAATATTGGCCCTATTGCAGTTTTGTCATTACGGTGTCCCTTAAGCTAAAGCCAGAACTCGATTCCCACCTAGGTTTTGTTACACGCGTTGCTCTTGCGATCGCGATATAGAGTCCCGCGCGGCAACGTTCGTTTGACGCTTGTTAATCGCGGTTTAGTCACGCTCATTAAACGATGATGGCAAAATAATAGCGCGCGTTTGACAATAACGGCAATTATCGCCGGTGATTAACTGTCGTCCGATCTCAATTACCACACGGGAAAAAGAATGACGTTGTATCGACAAGATCAGTGTAATTGAAATAGAATCGTTGAAACAACATCGGTATTGATAAATGGAAAACATCAGATTGTTGTCTTAATAATCTCGATATTTAGTTCCATGCTTAAACTAAAGTCCACAGCAAATACAATTGAGTGAATTATTTATGTTCGTGGCAGCCCGTGACGTTAACGTTTAATTCAAGCAACTTTATTTTGCTTAATTCAACGGCATTGTTCTTTCCGTGCGTGCTTGTCGCCACCGTTGTTTCGTATTACGTATGCAAACGTTTGCGTATTTTTTTTTTGGTCATGTTCTCTCTCCACAAATAAGTTTCATGACGATCCGCAACAACGCGCTGCCGTTATTCCGCGGAAATGGCGCGGATCGTTCCGCTACCGTTGAACAATGACAATTGTATTTTCTTGCGGTCGCGCTTTTTACATAGGGAAAGTAATGGAAGCCGGAACGAAGTCGTTTTTTTTTCCGCAGTCGCGCAATAACTCGGCAATTTACAAAAATCGTCGCCAATCTGATATTATTCGTTGGATAACGCGGCGAGACTTGTAATCGAAATCTCGCATTGAACGTGCGGCTTTTCTAGAGGATAAAGTTATTGTCTCTTCGTCGAGAAATTTTTTCAGCGATTAGCTTGTGGGTTTTGTTTGACGGTGATGCAACGTGAAATGAAACACTTTAATGATTACGATTGAACGGTTTCCGAATGTCACAATTATAAAATGAAAATTCTCGGCCCTCGATTGCATAGAAAACAATTTAAAACCTATATAGTTTTCCTATTGTGAAAGAATCGATGGCAGTTCTCGGACACCCTGTATAAAGTAAGGGAAAGTGGCTTGATTGGCATTTTAAGGCAGACAGTTAGGTGTCCTCTCTGACGAAAATGCGATTCTCGTTCGACGACCCCTCTCGCGTCCGCATGTCCGCCAGTCATATCACGAAAATGTACTCGTTGAACGGAGAAAGTCGATCGCCGTCGTCCGAGACCGATAGAAACCGAATGTGACCGGGCGAATTGCGAAGGTGTAATTAACGCGATTGAAATAAATGTTACAAACGCCGTGCTAGCCAGCCCTCGTCGAAATGCGCAGCCATGTCGGGACGCGGTATCGTTCGAAATACCATCGTACGGGACATTCGGCTTCAAGGTGGCTCGCGAGAGAAGAAATACTCACCGCAGAACGGTAGGTCACCCTGCCATTTCCCACGTGGGCCGCACACCAAACTGCCTGTTCTGAAAGAAGCCATCGGGCCGGTGTGAGTATCGAGTGTACATTCTCGCAAACCGGGACGGGATATCACTCTCTCTTCCGACGTTGCGCAATTGATAACAGGTGCATTCCGCCCCATAACGCGTGTTGTGCCGTGGAAAAATTCTTGCCGAACCGTTGGAGCGAAAAACGTTATGGCTCTCCGCCGTATAATCGTCGTAATAACGCACTCCGGTAAGGAGGTGGCAAGGACGTAGTAAGGCGGCGATAATTGCGCTCGTCCGTGCGCCGAAGAGGAGAGAACGAACGAGCGGGGAGAGAAATTAAACGGAGGCTTTTCTGTCGATCGAAAGAATTATGTAAGGCTTTCTGTGCGGATTTATAACGAATCCTTGCGCGCTCACCTCGTGCGCTTTGCGAAAAATTTCGACAGCGCCGCGATTACACGCTCATGCGTGTAATTACCGCGTTCGACGTAATCATTTGCGAGGTATGCATTAGCGTCACGCGCCATCGCGTGCAAACACGATTAAAACTGTACACGTTCTATCGGCCTAAACAAGTAAATCCGAGGCCGGGCTAATTAAAAACGCGAGGAAATCCCTTTTCGGAGCGGAGAAAGGTATGCAATCAACCGGAATCTCTCCCTTATCTTGTGAACCATTGTCTCGAGCCGAGGAATGCGGCAACGGGACTCTCCGCGTCATGCACTCTTATTTTTTCTCTCTCTCTCGATTTTTCTCAAGCACACGTCCCGAACAGAACGCGTTTGAAACCGGAGAAAGTCAGCGGCGTATCGCATTATCGATAATCACCATTCTCGAGCAGCAGCGCGTACGTATTTCGCTCGCCTGCACGCACCGAGAAAAACACCAGATCGCGCGTAACACGACCGCCAATTTCCGGTCGCGTGCCCCCCATGGACGCCGGCAGGAAATTAATTTTTCCCCCGCGTTTGTTTCGCAAGAAAAAGCCGGTTTCCTCGTTCGCCAGCTGCGGTTTATTTCAGTCTTGCATGACAAAGGTGTACACAGTTATCGACACCTCGAGTGTTGTCTTTCTTACTCGTCGCGCTAGTCAACGACTTTTCCATCTCTTTCGCGGCAGAAAGAAGCGGGGAATCGCCGTAATTCTATGCTTTTTCCCTGGCTCTACGTGATCTCAGAGAACGTTGTAAAAAGGTAACCGTGAAAAAGATACGCAAAATCTGACTACACGAAACACGTAGCAATTACGAGATCTTGCCTTGATTCGTTGAGTCGCTGGAGTGGCTTTAATTTATTGAAATTTTATGACACTGATTAATCCACGATGTCGACATCCGATAAATTTTTGCCACGACGAATGTTTTTGTACGACGTGAACGATATCGGCGCGGTTTTTAGTGGAGGAAATTGATAAGAAGAATTTCAACGTCGTTGTCTGAACGTCAGTCTTGAGACCTGTCGGTCGCGGTACTATGTCGAAAAAGGTAACCGCGAAAAAGATACACAAAATCTGACTACACGAAACACGTAGCAGTTACGGCGAGATCTTGCTTGAATTCGTAGAGTCGCTGGAGTGACTTTAATTTATTAAAATTTTATGACACTGATTAATCCACGATCAGTGATCTCAGATTTGCGTTTCTGCCACCTAGCCACCGCGGTAGTGGGGGATGGCGCGTGGTGGGAATTCGGCACGCACACAATCACGCGGTCGTGTAGCCCCA